GCAACATGAAGAGAACCCCGTGCTAAAATAGACAGCAAGGAATTCGTACCAGCAGAATACTTGGTGGCTGTGGATTTCCACAGTATCTGACAGGTCATTTCCTTTGAACATGGATGAGGGACTTGGAATAATGGGTGTCCTGTTAAGGGAGCTGCTGAGGCTTGCAGGGCTTACCTTGTGTTCAGACATTATCAGATGTGATTCTCAGGAGGCAAACCGTGTGTGTGTATACACCTGTGTGTGTTTTTGTGGTGGTGCTTTTGTTGTGTTGTTTTTTTTGCTTGTTTATTTGTTTTTGTGTGTGTGTCTGTGTGTTCAGTTTGGAAACCAAGCAAGTATCAGTTTGGAAACCAAGCAAATATACATTTCACATACACTTGTCCTGTGTTCCCCCCTCTCCTAGGCATCTGCCTATCATCTTTTTAGGAAACAGGATATTGGTCTCAACTTCAGTTTTGGGTCTGCCCTAGTAAGCCAATTTTTAAGGTTTGGAAGGCCATTCATTTTACCTAAAGTGGAAATAATCAATTGCAGAAAGTTGTTTGTTACCACAGCATCAGACCTTGGAGTTTCTGATCCAGCTTCTTACTTTCACAAGCAGTTTCATTATCACTCCCATTAATAATCAGAAATAAATTAATAACTGTTCAAGCTGAATTGTATGTAGTTAATATTTGTATGTGTTTTTTTGTGTGTGCGTGTTGGTGTTTTTTTGTTTTGTTTTGTTTTTTTGCAAGAATTCGTAATCCTGCCTCTAAGTCATAGTTTCTAATTTCTGATCTAAATGTTTGCGAGCTTTTTTGTTTGCTCTCGTGCTTATGCTGACTTCCAGCTTGGGCAATTCTTCATGTATGTTTGTTCCCAGGCACTGCTCTGGTACTACTGGCTGGTTACGGTCACTCAGCTCTTCATTCCACTAATTATTTTAGGGTTTATTGTCTTTAATTAGTTCCTGATAAATCTCTCTCTCTCTGTTTCTTAATAAATGATCCTCTGAAGAAGGCAAGGATCTCAGTATGCCACTTTCTGTTAGTACAAATTTTCCCTTTCATCTTGGCCCAGATGCCATTTTCAGTCATAGGGAAGATTGCAGTGGGCACACAAAGAGTAACATTTCTTTTTCTTCTCTGTCTGAGTCCAAAAAGTGGCAAGTGTCCTAAGAAATCAGATCCACTTGTCAGTGGCTTTGCAGCACGGTAAGAGATCGAAACTTTGCTGGCACATCTGTTTCCTGTGACAGATTGGGTTGGTGGCTCCTGAAGCAAACTTCCAGAAAGCAGCTCCACGTCCTTGGCAGTAAGAATTCAGCAGGCTGGAGATCAGGCTGACTGCTAAATGGAAAAGTTAATATATTTTTTTTTTGGTGAGGGCTCAGTGCAGCCACCTGTGTACTATTAGCGTGTGGAAATTAGTCATTTGTCTGGTATAGCTTTTGGTCTGACAAATTCTGGAGGTAATAAAACAATCCTCATTTTTGTGGGTTTTTAAGTCTTCCTTTCTCTCTTCCCCCACAAATGCCACGCACATGCCTCTTTAACCATGCTGCCTTTCTACTGATGACTGAACTTGCTCGTATCAGCTTGTAGAGATATTTTTTTTCTGCCCACAAAATTAATTTCTGAGGGAGCAATTCAGTTACTCCCTCGGAATTCCTTCACTACAGTTTTATACATTCAAGTTTCAAATGTAAATCCAGTATTGGAGTAATCCATATATTATTTCAATTCTTTGTTTCTAGAGTGAAGGAATATCAAAATAAATACCTCCTTTCACAGCTACTTTCCTTCTCAAAACCAAGGAATTAACAGAGAATGATGAAATCAAGCAGTTTGGTTTTATACCAGTGTTCAGTCCTCTCACTCGAAGATAATCCTTTCTTAAAAGTCCATTTGAGTAGATTATAACTGAGTAGACTTTTTGATATCCAGACTGAGGATAAAGGAACTGGGATAAGTGCTGGTAGTTGTAGACAGATGATATCTTTTTTTTTTCTTTTTTCTTTTTTTTTCCTGTCTGCAAAGTGTTTCTTTTGCAGATAAATTCCTGTTTCTTTACAGTTGCTCCTGTTGATAAAGAGAAGAGCCTTAAAATTTTTGCTTTTAGGAAAAGTAGGAAGCTGGAGACGATTGGTGCCCCTTCAGGTCTTCAGGTCACTTCTTGAAGTGGATCTCAGCCTTGGTTCTTAATGCCTCCTACCATATCTGCTTTGAGCAGTGGAATAATTTCCTTCACAGCAGTTTGAAGGCATAATCATGACCACAGCCGATGAGATGCGCAGGGTATTTCACATCACACGACTGGTTTTGCAGTCCTTAGTAGGTCAGTGGTATAGCAGTGGTTGGCAGCAAACCTGCTATGCCTCTGTTTTGTTACCTTTTTCCCCTGGTGTAGATCACAGTGCTTTTGCCCTTTTTTTTCCCTTTCATTTCCTTTTTTTTCTTTTCTTCTCTTTCTACCTCCTATTAAAGGAGGATGCTGAAGCTCCTCCAGTTTAAGAGCTCCAGTGGCTAAACGTTCCTCTAGACCTCTCATAGTTACGACCCGAGGTAGCCTGTTGAAAAACAGGCTTCGATATTAGGGAAAAAGTTTCTGAATCAGCTCAGACCTTGTCCCTGACATTTGGTGCCCTAAATGTCCTCCTTGGATTTTGTGGTTTTATCTTTAATTATGATTGTGGTTTTATTTTTAATTATGATTTATTATTCTATAAAGGTCGCCATCCCTGAAGCCTGGAGGTAGTTCCACAAGTGCACCCTCTGCACTTCCCGAAGCCTGTTTCAGTGCGTGCAGCATTGACAGTGGCCACAGAAACTGAGAGAGCTGGGCCACCTGAAGCTAGGTGATAACTTGGTAGTGATCTCCAGTGAGGCAAGCGACTGCGTTGAACTTGCAGTTAAATGCAAAGCTCATTAGTAATAGCCACAAACCATGTGTTGTACATGATAAGTGAAATAAGGACTAGTTAATGGGCAACAATGCTTTGGAGAGCTTGTTACACAGAATTCCTTTTTGGCTGGGGAGTGTGCTTGCTTTCCTTGGAGAGTGAGGTATTTGGCTGAACACTTCTGCCTATTAGGATGGCACTGAGTGCTTGGGAAATATGCATAATTTTAAAATACTTTATTCATGTGTTTCTGCTCATTGCAGTGCCAGAGAGGATTTATCTTAAATGGCAAAGAATCCCAAACCCGTGTTTCTGTGCATTTGCCTGATTTTTTTTTAAGGATTGGAAGGGAGCATGAATGGGTAGCTGAGGCCCCCTTGTGTCTCCAGTTGATACTACACCTCAGGCACAGCGGCGTCAAGTCACTTTATTCACTTTATTCACTTTTTAAAAATATATACACAGAAACACTTTTTAGGCCAGAATAAGGTGCTAACTTTTCACATGCAGTGGTTCCTTACTGCAAACCTGAATTCTCCATGTGTTACTTTTTGCAGTAACAGGTTTTACAAAGCTGTGCAAAACTAAGAGGGTATTTGGTTTGCAACAGTTATCAGGAATATATGAGATGCAAACAAAAACTGCAGAAAATCTGAAGGCCTGCAAAATAAATTTTTGCCGTGTTTGCATCTCTGCTTAAGAATGACTGTGGAAAAACTACATAGCCAACAGCTTTTAGTGCTGGGCCGTATCATGTAACTGCAGGATAGGAGGGATGGGGAAGGGCAAAAGTGCCAGCAAGGGAGGTGTGAGATGGTTGCGGGGGGTTGTTTTGGTTTTGCGGTCATCAGCCATGTGGTTTTGGTTCAATTGCTAAGACCTTGAGAATCACTTCCAAATGCTGTGATCCCAGTTACAGCAATGTGGACATGTGTTAGAGTAGATTTGCGCTGTGCTTAGCATTTAACTTAGAAGTGTATGTTCACAGCTAGTGCAAAGTAGTGCAGAGGCTTTCTTCAAGGAAAAGGTTAAAGACCAGGAGAATAACCCCATGTAAAATGATGTAATGATCTTAATAGACTACTCTTAATAGACCTCTTCAGTATTTTCGTGTTGCACTACTCCATGAGCATTTGTTGGACTTGTGGATTTTGTCAAAATATAGCTATTTGCTCTCATGACAAAATTTTGGCTTTCAAACAGTAGTGAATAGTAGCTAATAAAACCTTAATGAAGAAATTCATTTGGGTCTTAGGTCAGCTAACTTGGCTTGTCACTCATGCCAGTCTATAATGCAACCCTTTGTTCTGCTGTTGCACAGATTTTTAAAAAGCAAGAGAAGGAGGTGATAAAAAAATAAAATAGGATAAAAAGGATTTAAAAAAAAAAAAAAAATGGAATTTCTCTGGGTGACATTGCACCTGTGGTTTATTTTCTTCTTTTGGGTGCACGTAGGAAGCCTAAGGCTGGTGGTCTCTGCACAAATTCCTGTTCACTTCTTGAGCTTTGTCATGGTTATATCAAAATGGGTTGGATGGTAAATATTTCTTTCCAAAGAAGATGCCGATGATGCTTCCAAAGTTATAAAACAAGCTTTGCAGAAAGTGAGGTTTTCTGCCCTTTTTTGTTTCTTGTTTTAGATGTCAAGATGGCAGAAGCCGATAGGTGTGAATATAGCAGTGTGTCTACACTGTCCTCTAGATGAGCTCCCATTTGCATCTGAGTTTCAAAGCTTCAGTTCAGTTAAACTTATCCAGTAACATTAATAGCAGGTTTAGGAAGAGCAAATAAAAACCAAGTAAGGATTTTTTTTCCCCCCAAATTGAGATATATCTCATAGTCTGTGTCACAGAGAGTATGTCACACTTCATCTCTGAGATACGTTGTCTGCTCTTTTTAAGGACCAGTTCAGGGTGAAGAAACCTACTTGTGGGATTTTGAAGAGCTGTGTGTGCTACTGAACATACCCTACCTTTTTCAGTGTTGATCCATTAAACAATTCCAGAATTGTGAAAATCTTGCTTGTGGAGTTCCAAACCTATTCCAAACACTTTTTTTTTTTTTTTAATTAGAGGGGAAATATTTGGTATAACTTGTTCGTCTCTTTTGTTTTCAGCTCCTCAAGGATTTTATGCATAGCCTACGAGGTTTTACAAGGTTTGCAATATATGAACAAACATGGAATGGTCCACCGAGCACTCTCCCCTTGCAATATTCTTTTGGATCGAAAGGTATGGCTGCAGGAATGAATCTTTTTTTCATTTTTGTCGCTTGCTGCCAAATAGCATGCTGTGTCATATTTGGAGACGGGACAGGAGCAGACCTTTTGGGGGGAGGGAGAGAGGGAATGGCATATTCAGCAAGTGTGGGTTGTTTGTTGTTTTTTACTATACTTTACATCATTTCCTAAATTTCAAGTATGTTGCAGGATTTTTTGTTCCCACTTTCTTCTATCCCAAATCTCTTTTTTCATCCTTCTTAAAGAAGTGATCTAAGTCTACCTGACTGCCATCATTGTAAATAGTTACAAAGCCTTTCTGTTTAGTAAGGGATATAATTTTTTTAGCTAGTGAGTAGTTAATAACATTTCCTGTGTTTCATGGTGGTCTGATACTTTTAAGATATCAACATATTTCTTTGTATTAAATTATTAAAATTCCAGTCTGTCAATTCTGTTGTCAGACTACTGAGTTGGCAGTATGGAATAAAGGTTTCCCTCAAAAAAGATGAGAGAAATTAATAGCTACTGCTACATTCAGAGCCATCCCTTTATCTGAACTAACAGCCAAAGAGCTCAGTTTCTGTGGACAACCCCTCTCTCCTTCCGCTTCTTACTCGATTTAAATAGAAGAGCTAGATCTTCCCCTTGGAAGGTAGAGAGAAAAGAGGAGGAAGGAAGAAAGGAACACTTACTAATATGTTCTTGGGTAAATTACTTGTACAAATGAACCAATGAAAATCATAATAATGCTCTAACAAGCAAAAGTACTTAGGATTTTAAGATAGCCCTGCAATCAGTAAGAGAGCAAAGGGGGCCGTGGGACTATAAATTTCAAGTCTTTTCCCCTGCCCTCTGAATTGCTTGCTGTTGCACCACCTGCAGAGTAGCTGAGTATAATTCAAAATCCAGCAAAAACTATATATCAGTTTAACTTCGATGCCTATTTTTTTGTTGTTGTTATTTTGGTGTTGGTGTTACCTTTCTACCTCCACAGAATAAAACCAAGCACCTGGAAAACTTATTTGATTGAAATGTATGTGGATACAGTTAAAGAGAGCAAGATAGTAATGAGTTGGTGAGAAAGACTGGAGGAGCAAGGCTGGGTAAATGGCAGAGGTGAGAGAATAGTGGGGCTGCTTAGGGAGCTCTAGGATTCAAACAGGATTGCAAACAGTTTTTGAAACAGGAAAAATGTTCAAGAGAGTATTAAGTCATTTTAATTTACTGAAAATATATTGTAACTGTACAAAGTTCTGACTTGCTGACGTACCCCAAAGTGATTACACAGTGCTCTCAGAGAGTAAAAGCATTAGAAATAAGCACCTTACTAGCTTTTAGTGGAATTGTACCTAAGAGCTGAAACAGAAATGTAAGAGGCTGGCTTCTTATGCCTTCTGACAACTTATTACTTATGACAAATTAGCATAAATATATATATATATACACATCTATATTTGTAAACTCAAAGATTCTTGTGATGTCAGATTCTGCTGCTCTTGATTTTTATTTTTATTTTTTTCAGGGACATGTCAAGTTGGCTAAATTTGGACTCTACCATATGACTGCTCAAGGCGTTGATGTTGATTTTCCTATAGGGTAAGTATGGAGCTGCACAATACAAATATATTAAGGATGTTTGCATGGATGCACAAAGGTAGTAGTGATACTTCCTTTTGAAAGTTTTCAGATTTTTTTTTATTGTATTATCATGAACGATTGAAGGAACAAGTGATATTGTTACTTTTAAAATGATTTAACAACAGGTAAACCTTTTGCTTTTTTTTTGTTGGTGGTGGGTATTTTTTGTTGTTTTTTTTTTTTTTTTGGGGGGGGGTATGTATTTATTTATTTATTTATTTTGCTAATTCAAAAGTTATTTGATGGGAATCCTGACAATGAACAAGACCACCCCCCCACACACACTCCTGGGGTGGATCTAGGGTACATTTATTTAATGTACTACTGCTGAAATTCGGTATACATTTACTTCGAATAAATATATTGCATCTTTACATATATATACATATATACACATAATATTGAATCTTTAAATAGATGAACTATTTTGAAAAGTGCTGTTCTTTACTTTCACAAAAAGACAGAGCTAATGATTAAAATTTGACCTTTTATGTACTAGACACTACTTTGTCATTGGAGTGAAACTACTGCAATGTGTACATTTTGGCTAACAACCTGCATTGGTATGAATTCGAGTTTCTCAGAACACAAACTTAATTTCATTAGTGTAAGTGAAAAGTAGGTTTTTGGACAGACAGATTATTACTTAATGTTGCTGCATCTTTTTAGGTACCCGTCGTATCTGGCACCTGAAGTAATTGCACAGGGAATAGTCAAACCAAGCGACCATACGCAGTGTGAGAAGCCTCTGCCTTCTGGCCCTAAATCAGATCTGTGGTCTCTTGGCATAATACTATTTGAGCTTTGCATGGTATGTAAGAGGGTTTGACTGTGACTTTTGGGGAATAGTTACATCAGGTTGATTGCTCTTGCTAATGGGGTTAATGACACTTGTCCAGCACGTGACTCCAAATATCAGACTACAGTTTGCATTCCCACCTGACCAGTACTGGTGGTGGTGTTCAAGTTACTGGATACATGTTGGCTTGGGCTGAGTGTTACCATGAAGGGCAGCTGCCTTGAATAAGCCACAATGATGCAATTGCGTGATCTAATTCTTAGTAATAGCTTCTAAACCAAGTCTCTCTAGGTAACTTTTTGTTTTAATTATGCTTATAAGCATATTTATGACAGCATATTGCTAGTCATGCCCTCATTCTCTTCAAAAAGGATGAGAAACTAATAAGTTTCCTTTACTATGAAAGCACTACATCTGCCTTATTGCCAGAGTTTAAAGAGTGTCTATAGGGAATTAAAGGTTTATTTGAAAAATACTTATTTGGCTTTAGATGTTAGAATAAATTAAGACAACATAATCTTTACCACTTGTACATGTTAAACTTTGACTTTCAATCAAAGACAGCAACATTCTCTATAGAAACACGATCTGGCAAATATACCAATGCTAACAGTTAGTTTCATTATACAATTAAATGGTCTGACAGTTACATGGTCAAGAGCATGTATTAGTTAGTCAATACATCAGGGCACTGGAAATTCTTTTATGTATTCTGTGACTTCTTATAGTGTTCATAGATCATTATTCCTCTTTTGAATAAGTATCTTTTCATAAAAATATTGTTGAAACATTTTAGAACTGATATTTGGATGACTTTTCAAAAATAGTGTGCCATACAAGCTATGGCTGTCACTGGGTCAGGACCATGAACATCACCTTTTTTCACGCTTACGTTGGAAAAAATACAGCTTTTTGAAAGCTTGTTACTAAACTAATAATAAACCTGCAGCTTTGCTGAAGCAACCTGAGGATTTGTTTTGCATGTTTTTTGTTTGTTTTTATTTGTTCCAGTTAAGAGACATTACAAATGATACATTTTTTTCTTTGTGATGTTATGAAACTGCTTCTGGTATATTTGGGGGTAAATCGTGTTTCTAAATGTTTCTAAAATTAATCTGAAGAACCTTATTTCACTGTTTTTGTGTATAGGTGGATGTGTGTGCTATCTAAATATTTTTATGTAGTAGCATTCAAATGTTGATTTAATCTTGTTACTCATTTAGGGGAGAAAATTATTCCAAAGTTTGGAAATAGCAGAAAGATTAAAATTTATAATTATGTTGGGTAAGTAGCACAAAATCATTTTTTTTAAGTTTCCTAGTAGTGTTACCATTAGAGCTTCACAAACTAGTCAGCTTGTTATGCTCAGACTGTACGGTACTTTATCTTTTGTCTGCTTTCATCTCCAGAACTTAAAATGCATTTGAGGCATGGTTACTTGCTTAGGGAAGCTACAGAGATGGCTGACAGTTAAAATAATAGTTGCAGAAGAGCCATGAGTGTGTTAGAGTAAGGGAAGCTGTGGAAAAACATGTTCAGGAAAGGTGGTCTTTGTGTTGGTTATTTGTTGTTCTGTGTTCCAGGAAGTCTCTGAAATGAGATAGGAACTGTATGACACTAAAGAAAACTGTCCCTGCAGCAGCGGTGTGATACCAAGCAGGGAGAAGCAGAACTCAAATTGGAAGACAGAAAATAGAGAGCTGAGGAGTTTATTACTAGGTCTAGGCTTTTGTTCTGACTTAATCTACAAACTGTATAAGCATTAAGCAAAAAATCAGTGTCTACAGTAATGTAAATGAGTGTGAAAGTAGGACTTTTCTGTGGCATTTAAAATTCAGTTTATTGTGGGGGTTGTGTATGAGCCATGAAGAAGGGCAGAGCATGAGCTTGCAGTTTGAAGGTTTATGAGTAAGTTATTGAATTTATCCAGAGCAAATAGCGATACCTTTAAAGATACTGTCACTACAAACATCTTTTTATTGAGTAGTTAGTACTCTGGTGATGAAATTCTGTCTGTTTTGGCATGGGGTTTATTAGCAAAGCTTCCTGAAGGGTTTGAGTCCCCTTCAGGTTAAGTGCAAGTTATTATAAACCTTTATCCACTGAAAAATGCCCACATTCTGACTTGGGAGTTATTTTCTCAATAATGCATTGAAAACAAATTATAAAACACTTCCAGTATAATCTGCAAGTAGCAAATAAAAAGTCCTTTGAGCTTCTATATGCAGGTATTTTTTAAGTTCTTTCAATTTCCTTTTAATAAATAGAAAGGCTGTTGGAATTTATTTGGCAGAGACTGACGCTCTGGATTTACTAAGCCTGCTAAAAAGACTTTCACTGCTTAAATTAGATGCACTACTTAAATTTTCTAGGCTTTAATTTTCTGTCTGCGTTGGGGATATTACTTTCATTTCTAATTTTGGGAATTCACCTTCAGTTGATGTGGCAACGTCAATTAAAAAATATACATATTCTGTGCTGTGGTGGGCTTTCATCTGATATCCTGTTTAATTACTATCACTTTTTTCATGGTCTTCAACTTTTTTACTGTTCTGTTTGTTTTTAAAGGCTGTGTAGATGATATTGTAACAGTATTAGCTGAAGAACATGGTTGCCTTGATATTATTAAGGTTTGTGGAACTAGTTTACTCTTCTATGCTATCTTATCCAAAACATTTTTTTATTTTATTTATTTATTATTATTTTATTATTTATTTATTTATTTCTATTTATTTATTTATTTATTATTGTTGTGTTGCATAGGATTTCATATATACATATGAAATATAAGTTTGTTTTTGTTTATATACATAAAAACTCATGTATATAATATATATATATATATATATATATATATATATATAAGTAAAGTTATTTATTCACTTGAATTTATTGCACTATACTGCAAATATATATGTAAGATCTTTTCGAGTACCCTGTGCTGGTAACGTTCATTCTTTCTTAAAATTGTTGTCAATTAATTTAATCCTTGCTCGATGGTTCAGTAAGTTGTTAATTTTCTTTACAGTGTTGGAGGTTATAGATTTTTCTTCTAGAAATTTAGCTTTCTACCTAGTGTGCTTTACACATTCTGACAATGTGTTATGCAGTTCAACTCTTCCCTGCACACAGAATGAATCAGTGAATTTTAGTGTTTATGTCTTGAAACACTGTGTGTAAAACGAATTCTGACTGTTATCAGGAGTTCCCAGGTATTGTGTTGTTTCCAGCTGTGTACAGAATATCTAGACTAGAAAAAGTAAGAATAAATAACTGCATACACTGAATTGTCTAGTCTTCTTTTCCCCATAGTAAATGTGGGTTATGAAATTACTTCCAAACAGCATTTTGATCTCATGCAGCTAACCTCATACGTGTGGATGTCAAATTTTATTGCTTTCAAAGGCATTAACTTGTATATTAAAAGCTAAGTATGAGCTAAGTGGCTTGCTCAATTAGGACAGTAATGATCAGAACCCCTTCCATATTTCTCTTATGTTCCAGGACCTTCCTGAAAATACCATAGATTTACTGAAAAAATGCCTTACATTCCAGCCTTCTAAGAGGCAAGTATTCACTGCAAATACATAATAAACTCTGTTAGGATTCTGTGAAATTAGAAGTCCAGTCACTGATCGTTTTTTGGAATACTGATGGCTTGTGCTACTGACAATAACTTCTTGGTTTTATTACTTTGCAATATTTGAAAGTAGAGAGTTCGGAAAAAAATAATGAAGTGTGCAAAACCTTGAGATTGATGCAGAGTATTTTTGTGGGAAAACTATTTGGTTATTTTCAGTTTTAATTTCACAGCTTTAGTGATTCTATAACTGGATGTCCATGGTGGTTACTGCAGTTGTGCTGTGGTCAGAATTAGGACCGCTTTCTTCAAATCTCTCCTTTCAAAGACATTTTTGTTATGACAGTCCAACGCAACTTTCTTCTGAAAATGGAAATAGGCTTCTGTTCCTTAATTGAAGTTTTGCATTTGCATTTTTTTCACGTTTGCTTAGAGGAATTAAAAGAGAGTTAAGAAAATAGTTGCTTTATATATTAAATGAAGGTGAGATCTGAACTTGGGCTATAAACAGACTGCACAGTGTTATAAATTATGAGTTGAACAAAATTGATAGGTTTTTTGGTAATAAAATTTATGAAATTTGACATCACTTGTTAATATTTATTACTGGGGACATTTCTTACTGAAATGTAGTATTTATGAAAGCACTTTACTCATAGGCATTATATTCTCTTTTCTTAACTCAAGACCAACTCCAGAAGAATTGCTGCATGACAGTTTGTTCAGTGAAGTATCCTTGTCATACCCTCCCTTTCACAAACCTGCTGGTCTGTTCTCATCTTCTCCAAGGTGTGCTAACTTAACACTTCCTGAAGACATAAGTCAATTATGCAAAGGTAAAAGCAGGTAGTGGGATGAATGTCACTGAAAGGGGAAGGAAATTAACATGGTTTTGAGATTTTCTTTTAATGCTTTGTTAGAGAGAAACTATTAAATGGTATAAAACTACAATTTTTGTAGTAAGTTTTTTAATGAGCACAGCTGGAGGCAGACATGATTTTGAGGGATGTGTTCAAATCAAAGGATGGCATCTTTATTTTTGTACTTTGCCTTCAGGGAATAAACAGTTAACATTAACGTTAACATAACTATTCAAGTGTACCTTGGGATATCAGTATCATTTTTGCCTTTTTAATTTGAACACTTACATGTACAAGATGGTTTTTGGTGGTGGTGGCTTTTTCCCCACTATGTTGTGTTGTGCATTGGTAACTGGATTCTGCTGAATCATAGCATGAGATCATTTTTGGAAATAGTGAAAAACTAAATCCTTGTGAGAGAGGTCATATTGTCCAGAATAAAAGAAGGTTAGAAGTTTCTGAGTTTAAAACTACAGTATGCTGAAAGTTTCAAGTCCTCATTGACGTTTTTTGATGAACTCTGAGATTCATACATATATAGAAAAATCTCACTATACAATTCCTGGTGACTAAGATTTTATACCTAGTTAATGTATATGATATGTGAAAGGAAGATGAGACAGTATGAGTCACTAGTTTCTTTTTTGTACTCTTAGCATTGTTGGGGACAAAATAAGGTTTTTGTTTTATTTAATTTTTTGGGAAAAAAAAGATGCCCAGAAAGCAAAACTCCACCCTTTGATTAATTTATCTGATTGGTTCTATTTTCTACCATCAAGGCAAACTGCAAAAACATCTTCTTTTTCTCTGATCTCTGCCCATCTGCTCTTTCTGTAAATTTTCCTAAAGAGCAGTGCAAAGGGTACATCACTTTCTCTTCTAACCTCATATTATGCTCTTTTCAAGTGTAGTAACTTTTCTTCCACAGAATGTGTTTAGAGTGATAGGAAGAAATACAAGCTGCCTAAAAAGCTGTAACTCAATTTTTATGTGGTTTCTCCTAGTAGATGAAGATAGTGATTACCTAGCAGAAAGATCAATTGAAGAGGTTTATTATCTCTGGTGTTTGGCTGGAGGAGACTTGGAGAAAGAACTTGTCAACAAGGAAATCATTCGATCAAAGCCACCTGTCTGCACACTTCCCAAGTAAGGAAAGAGAAGCGCTTTAAGGGAAGGACAATGTATGGAGAAGTGATGCTGAGAGAATGTTTTGGTTTGGTTTTTAGTTTCAACACCTGTGCATATGTGAAAAACAGTGAAAATAGGATTCTTGAACAGCAGAAAATCATTTCACATCCCATCTTACCAAACTTGAGGTGTTATTTGAACAGTTGTATCTGTTATCTAGCTGCATTGCACATTGCTTTCTGAAATTTGAGAAGAAATTTAGGTGAAGTACAACATAATGAACTGGAAGTCCCTAAATTTGGCATGAATTCAAATAGCATTAAGTTTCAATTAAAAAAAAAAGTTTCACTATGCTTGAATACCATATTTGTAATTGGAAGTTAATTAATTCTGTAGCAAATTCTCACAATCTGAATTCTCTTTCACAGAGCAGCAGTGCTGAATGGTCAGCTCATTTCTTCAGCAGATGAGCCGATTTATTTATTTATTTTTAAATGCTTGGTTTTTACTTGTAATTCTCTAACAGTGTTACTGCCTTTATCTTATTGCTGCACATGTTGCAATTTTATGTAATATAGTGATGTCTTAATCCTGCAATCTGATCTTAATAAACAGAATTTTGTGTTCATATAAATCAGTTTGCTGGGTCTGTGATTTAAAAACATATGAAATCAGCATGTACAGCAAAAGTGCAGTATCTTGAAAAAAGAAAAAATCTAGATTTTAAGTGATGGTATGATAGCAGCAGTAGTGTGACATTTTGAGGGACTGCCTATTACTGTGCCCATAGGTGAATGTTTCTGCTTTCAAGTTATGTGTGGAAAACATTTTCAGTTGTGCTAACTATGATGACGATGAGGTGTTCATTCAAAAATGCAGTTTGACTCAATTTCCTAAGCCATATTTTAATTTCTAGTGATCAGTTTGATGCTGTCTACTTTAAAATAACACTAAACAGGCAATTCTTATATACTCTTACTTGGATGCATTTGTTAATCCCTTAGACTGCAACAGAACAGGTCTGCATCAGATTTTTTGCTCTTTTTTTTTTTTTTGTCATGGTTGGAAATGGCTTTCAAATGACAGTGCTGTTTTATTTTTGCTTCTCCCATTAAATAGTCTTGTTCTGTGCCAGCTCAAGGAATAAAAGGGAATATTAATCTCATATCTCATTAGTCTTCCTTTGTGCGCAAACCAAAGTCGTGGAAAGCCTGAAATGTGCCTTTTTACACAAAAAGCTGCTTGAATAATTTAAGGTGATTGTACATTCCCTTGATAGCAGGTTTCATGCTTTGCAGAGTCAATGCAGTATACTTCTAAGACCTACTGTTTTGTTTTAAAGAAGAAACTGATTGATGTAAGATATTTTTTTTCTAAATCAAATCTTATGTTATAAAATGACCTGAATTATATATTTTCTCTCCCTTTTGAAGCTTTTTATTAGAAGATGGTGAAAGCTTTGGGCAAGGACGAGATAGAAGTTCCCTCCTAGATGACACAACTGTGACTTTGTCTCTGTGCCAGCTCCGAAATGTAAGAAAAATTCTGTGCACAGGTGCTTATGTCTTTGCTGCAGAAACATTTGTTTAAAGGGAATATGGAACAGCAGCTCCCACTGCTGTTTCTACAAAAGGGCAGTGTTAATGATTCCAAGAGAAGACTTCTTGGTATCTAGGTTAGATTCTGATTTATGCTATTAAGTTGCTTTTTCTGTAAAAGCTTTCTAAATTTGGTTTATCTTCCCCCAACCCCTCTGTTCTAATTTTTTATCACCTGTGCTTTGTTCTGGTGCAGTCACAATAATTTCGTAGCACCTGATATTCTGCAGTATTGCTAAACTAATTGGGGCAGTGAGTGTCTTTTTGCATTCTTTAATTCCTGTCTGTAGGTGGCTCACAATATTCAAAAGAAACATAAGCTCAATTCAGTTGCAGCTCCTTCAGATATTTATCCTTTAGAGTTGGATGTCAAATTTCCAGTAGTTTAATACTAACCTTTAAAAATATATCTCTTAAACAACTACTTTGAAAGAACACTTCAAAGTATTTTGCCAAAATGCAGTAATGCAGTTTTCTCTCAGTGGCATAATAAACTCATGCTAACTTATTTTACCTGCTGTAGCAATGGGTTGCAAGATTTACTGCATACATCACTGAAGTATTTTAATTGTTCACGTATCTTCATAGATGTAGAGCTTTATTGCTATAGAATTAGAAATTTACAATGCACTGTTTACAACTGGCTTTTTATGGTAGCAATTGCAATTCTGTAGCAGTCTTTATAAAAATTGTTTCCATATGACTATGGAGGTTAAGAAGGAAAGTGACTCCTGAGGTCTTGATGTCTGCCACCAAAAAAAAAACAAAAAAAAAACAACACTTAATCTGTAATTTTGATTATTAGTGCCTACTTGTATAAATGCAGCAGCATGCAGGATTCAGGCTTGTATCCTCCCAAACTGCAGTAAAAGTGTACTGCAGTTTTATTTGGGGAGGATACAAGCCTGAACCTTGCAATATTAGTTGAAATAATTTTTTTGAACTTACACAATTCTTCAAACACTTTTCTTGGAGCAGAGCATGGTGCTTGAAATCAAAAGAGGATCAGGTCTGAATGAACTGAGAGTGAACTGTTCTGTCAATCCCAGGAGGAACAGGCTGTGTGCTGTATGCCTTTAAGTTGGGGATTGAACTGCAAAACAGAGCACTGCAGGGAGGATGGTATTAAACATTAATCATGATGCACCAAAGATGTCTGAAAACTTCAGGCAAGAGTCCAGGCATGCTTGTCTGTCACCTTCCCAGAGAGTGTCTGTATTTCTGTGCAGCTTTAAGATGCTGCTAGTAAAAGGAACTCAAATTTACATAACTTTTGAACTGATTAAAAAAGTAAAACCAAGCTCTGCAGTTGCTTTGCAGCTACTTAGATAGGAAGTCCATGTCAAAAAGCAAGGAAAAAAAATAGTTAATAATATTCATCAATTAATCCATGGTCTGTAGAAGCTTTTTCTGTGTGTGCATGTGTAAATAGGTTTATGTAGACAATAACAGTTCTTTTCAGGCAGAATGATTTCCATTATCTCTTAAAAATAATAATAAAATAGTTTGTATTAGTAAAACTTTCTAGTGTTAAAGGCTGTATGTTTTTTTGCTGATTGAGAGCTGAGCTAATGCTTAAGACAGGTTTCAGAGCAAGCTACTAAACTTGGTAAATGAATTGTAAAGTAATAGTTTTCAGAGCCCACTAAGTATTTGTTTGTGAGTTCTGAACAGCTTTCTGATTATGAATTGTCTTTTTTCTTCATTTCAGAGACTGAAAGATGTTGGTGGGGAAGCATTTTATCCATTACTCGAAGATGAGTAAGTGTGTGTGTGTAAATCCGTATACATGTATATGTAAGGGACTGAATTTTGAGTTACTACTTTTGAGTAGCACATCGTGCAGCTAGACAGCCATCTTCCAAGAGCAAACCTAGCATGTCATGCTTTGGCTCTTAGTTGGTCAGAGCTGAAAGGCACTCAGCACCAGTGGCTTTAGGGCCCTAAATCCAAACTGAGAATTCCAACCTGCTTTCCTGTTCAGTAAATCAACTGTTTGTGCTGAATATTTAAAATTATCCATTTATACTTGTTTCTGACTCAAAAATGCATCACTGGGTATTCATTTTTTTTCACAATGAATTGTGTTTTTTTTGCTCTTTACTACTACTATCCTAATTCTTTTTCCAGCCAGTCAACTTTACCTCATTCAAATAGTAGTAATGAGCTGTCTGCAGCTGCCAGTCTTCCTCTGATCATCCGGGAGAGGGACACAGAGTATCAGCTAAACAGAATTGTCCTGTTTGACAGGCTCCTAAAGGTATGGAATCTTTCTGATGCTGGATAATTGGATTTGGTCTGTTAATTAGAGGATTTTTGAAGGACTAAGTAATTGAAAAAGGAAGCAGAGATGCAAGAGACCACAAAGGAGAGGAGCGAGAATGCCTTACAAAAATAAAACAAGATTGAAAATAAAAATATGAGAAATAAGTCTCTTTATTGTGCTGAATATAAAAGTAGGCTTTAAAGTATGCACATAAAAATAGAGCTGCTGCTAATACCTGTTATTTACTGAAGAAACTAATCCTGCATCCTTGATTTCCTGACTTACTATTCCAGTTATTCCTGACTGATTCCCTGATTTATACCTTTTATAGGGTATGTATACCTAATACAGGTATAAATACACCTGTGCATATTTCTGCATTTCCAAGCAGTACTGTAGGGGAAAACAACAGCAGTCTTAACCTCTACAGCTGTGATACAAACATGGGTTTCATACTGGGGAGGGGAGGGAATACCAAACCCTACGTATATGTTTGCAGAGAGATGGATTCTTGCTTAAGAGTGAGAGAGAGTTAACAGGTACAGTACTTAGGAAGGCATAAACTAGAAATGTTAAATGAAACAAAATTGGATATATGAGTATAAACATGTAATTAAGAAAAACAATAATAATTAGTATCATTAAATTTATATCAAATATATACCAAAGCACATGAATACATTTATGAGAAAGAGTGGGTCTTTTAATATCTAACCATACTTTGCCATCCAGGGTTTCCTTTTAGGAATGAAACTTGCTTGTTGTAAAACTTGCATTCACTGTTTAGACTGAAACAGTTTGTTGTTTGTAGAAAAAAACTACCAGAATGGGGATTAGATTCATTTCAGTTATGTGTTAATGTTTTTGCTATTAATCTCTTCTTGTTGAAGGCCTACCCATATAAGAAAAACCAGATTTGGAAAGAAGCCAGGGTTGACATCCCTCCTCTCTTGAGAGGCATAACCTGGGCTGCCCTGTTGGGTGTTGAGGTAAGAGTAATGGGAAGCCATTTGTGGAAATTCCAGTTTTGACCCTGGAAGGAATGGGGTAGGAATAGGTTGGACAGGAAAGCCAGAAAGGATTTGAAGATTTGGCAAGTAAATTAGTGCAATTTTAAAGAAAATGATGCATGAAATTGTATGAACAAAGACAATGTTCAAGCACATTTCTTGCTTCTGACATTATTTGATTTCAAAGAATATTGCCTTAAAACCTTTATATTTCATTTTAATTATAGGTTGAAAAAATAGTACCCATACAATAAATCTTGTGAAATTATTTAAATACAACTGGTAGTTAACTTTTTTTATTATTATTTTTAGTATTTTCGGCAAATGCAGTTCTTCCCCAGTCAGCGATAGATGGGCAAATCAGGGTGAAAAATATCAAATATATCGTTTTTTCACCTACTAACCAATACACATCCTCCAAAGATTGGAGAATAAATAAATGAAGTGTCCTTTGCCCAAAGGAACGTTCCAGAAATGAAGACCCCTCAGAGAGATTGCTCAACAACTCAGCTTTTGCATCTATTCTGCTTGCAATCTTCAGTAGGGCAGCAAAGAGATTCTTATAGATTACATATCTCAAGGTGCTTTTTTTAGGAAATCTAGCTTAGGGTGTGATCAGCTGAGTGCCTTATAATATGATGGGAAAAAAAAGATGTAAAGGAAACAAATAACTGCTGGTCAGGGGCCTGGCCTGGCCCCTGCTTGGTGAGTTCATACACTTCATCGGCTTACCATGTGTACAATGAAGGTAGTATTTCCCTGTCCCATAACATTAAAATGCACTTGTGAGCATACCTGTTCCAGGATTTAGGCATGTACTGGCTACTTAAAAGTTGTATATATTGGTAATATCAGTAGTAATTAATAGGCAGCCTTTTTGCAGTTGATGCTGAAAGCCACTTGGCAGTGTCGAAGGTAAATTACTTAATTGAAATTGAAAGCTTCAGTTAACTTGAGAATGGAAAATGGATCAAGTATATTGCTTCCTGTGTAAACAACAGAAAATCACTAAGGGTATTTGGAACGTCACAGAAAGGTCTATATATCCTGAAATATAGCAGGATAAAGATGCTTTTGTTAAAATTGAGCAGAGAGAATTTTCTGTGCTTTGGGAAAGTATATATTTTCAGAAAAAAATTGCCAACTAAAGTATTTGACAAAAAACAGTCAGTTTTTGTATATCTGTGTGTACGTTATAATATGCCTTTACATCAGTAAGGGCTTTCTAACTTCATCTATTCTTCCACATTTAGGGTGCCATACAAGCAAAATATGATGCCATTGATAAAGACACACCAATTCCTACAGACAGACAGGTAAAAAGACTTCTGTTGTGATGAAACATTGTAAGTTGAAGTAATGCAAAGATCTTTTCCGCCAGTGGCTGTCATTTGTTTGTGATGCCAGATGTGGTTGATCATACTACAATGTTTCCCTTGTCCTCTAACCTTATTCATGCTGTAGCAAGAATCTTGCAGAACTGATAGGAACAACTAGTTTAGCTCAATTTGAGTTATAACACCTGGTAAGTGAAATCTTCTTTTACTTCAGAACCTCTGTTTCTGTAGCAACAGTAAAGTGTAGTGAACAATTTTATTGATATGTTGTTGAAAAGTCTGTTTTTATTGAATATTTGCTGTGCCTCTTGGACCTGATGCCGGACTTCACGAAGTACCCTGAGATCCTCTGAAGTAAAATGTGCTTCACAGAAATGGCTTCTTGAATAATTAAGTTTTCCAAGAATTATTACCAAATGTAAATAGACACCATGAGCAACAACTATTCCATCAGCTGGCTGAATACATAGTTTCCATCAAATTGGGTACAGCTTTCTGAGTACTCTGATTCAATTACCCTGTTGAACAAAAGTATCACCTGAAATAGGCCAAAGGTTGGGTTAAAAATAGATAGATAGATAGATAGATAGATAGATAGATGTAATCTGCTGGTTTTTTGCTTTCAATTGTTAGAACCCTTCTTAAAACATGAATCTGATTTTTATTTTTATTAAAGAACAAACCAACAAACCCTCTCTGTTTTTAATCTTTTAAGTGCGGCTGTTAGTGCCCTGTCGCCTTTCAGTTACATTTCTGTGAGTGATGGGGGAAACAGACTGTGGTTTTGGTGGTGGTCTGACCTATTTTGTCTGGCTGACTTCCACCTCTAGTGCTTGCATGATTGCTGTAGTGTTTCCCCACTTGTCCTGACTCCTTATATGTATCTCTTTATATTGTATGCTTGGCTGTGGTACAGATTGAAGTTGATATTCCTCGTTGCCATCAGTATGATGAACTGCTGTCATCACCAGAGGGTCATGCAAAGTTTAGGCGTGTATTGAAGGCCTGGGTTGTTTCCCATCCTGATTTGGTATACTGGCAAGGTGAGTTTGACTAGTTAGCAAGTTCAGATAATTACCTGGAAAGCTATGGTTAACTTAAAAAACAAAAACAAAACAAAAAACCAGCAACAAAAAAAACCCACACACCTTCTTTGGATTGCTTTCATTTTGTTTCTTTTGAAGAATGAATCTGTGGGTTATTGCAAACTTAGATCCTAATAATTTATATTTAATTTTTAATGTAAAATTGCCTGCCTTTTTCTTATGCTCTCCTTAAATTTCAATCAATTCATTTAAAAAAAATAATCTCTTGCTTATTCCAGTTCAAACACTGAAGAACCTACTGGGCAAGTTCTTGGGAATGTAAATTGCATTTCTTGAAAGCCAAAGCAGAATAATCAATTCAGTGCTATAGTTTTAACAATTTTAAATCCTTTTTGGTTTTATGCACTGATTTCACGCTTGTTCTCAGCATTATGCGTGAAGCCTGATGTTGAAGGTATTATAATCACTATCAAGTATGCAAATGTTCATGGTAAGTTAATGAATTCATCTTATGCAATACAATAAATGAGATCTTCATGCTGTCTTTTCATGGCTCTTCCCTCTTTAGGTCTTGATTCTCTTTGTGCACCATTCCTGTACTTGAATTTTAACAATGAAGGTGAGCACCTTTTCTACTGGGGATGAGGGGAAGCACAGTCTGTTATCTGTATCTAGCTGTATACAGCTGTGACTGCACCTACTTACAGACAAGAGTTTCCTGTAACTATGAAGGAAGTTCAAAGCTCTTGTTGCCATGGGTCAAAAGAAATGGTCAGTTTTTAGAAAGAGTATGTGGTGTGCTACTGCTCAAGCAAAGGGTTCAAATACTGTGTTTATTAATAAACACAATAAATAAAACATAATACAAAGTACAAATAACTATAGAAAAACAAGAAATGCTTCTCTAGTACTTGTGTTTTTCAATGAACGTGTTATTTGGTAACTATTAACCTGTCAGACTAGCATCATTCAGAAAAGCTGATGGTGGATATAAATTAGTAAAATCAGCCCACCTTTAGATACCCAGCCTTTACCATCTTAGAATGTGATTTGTTCAGAATAGCCTAGTCCAGCTTTCTATTATCTTGCATCCAGCTTTTTAATAAGATGGGGGAGAGGGGAAGTTAGTTTCTCAGGACAGTAACTCTTACTATGCCTACTGTGTACCTTTTACATATTTCTGTCAACAGTTTTTTCTTGCTCTTGGACATGTTCCTATAGTTAGATTGTAGAACCTGGTTTTCTTTCCATTGCAGCAAAATATAATAGTGAAAAATGCACACTTCCGTGTTCTAGTTTACTAATTTAATTGCATACATTTGGCTCAGATACTTAAATTATGGTTTCCATGCCAGAAAATTCATAAACCAGAATTCATTTCTAATGTGATCCTATGTCACTTCAGTATAAACTTGATGTTTTGTTTATCATTTCCCAAACTATGTATAATTTCTTTGGATAATTTATGTCAAAACCATATTTCTAACTAAGGCTCCTTTTTAAATCTCTGATCTACCACCATTGCCAAGAATTGTATTAAAATAGGTAGACTGTCTCTCAGCCAAATTCCCAAGAATTAATCAAGGGGTAAACGTTGGGAGCTTTTAAAATTCTTAATAAGGAACGTGCCCTTTTTATGTTTCTGCACAATCATTTTTGCTTATTAATTGATTTTAAAAACTTATGCTTTTTATCTGCTTAATAATAAACATGTTTAGATATGCATACATTTCTGCCTCTGTGGTTGCATCCTTTTCATCCTTTTCTTCTTTTTTCTTTTTTTTTTTTTTTTCCCCAGCTCTGGCATATGCCTGCATGTCTGCTTTCATACCCAAGTATTTGTATAACTTCTTTCTGAAGGACAATTCTCATGTTATTCAAGGTAAGTAAATCTCTTTAATTTTTGTATTTCTTCTAGGAGGCAGAATTAAGTCTGCATTTATACATACACTTTTTCAAGTGGCTTTAAAATAAGCCTTTCAAAAAGTTTGTTTTAAGTAAAACAAGAAAGTGTGCAAGAATAATGGGAACATGATAGAGTAGGAAAAGATTTGCGCAAGGTTTAAAAAAAAAAACAAAAAAAACTATAAGCTTTACCAAAACAACAAATACAGCTCCATGTACTATCCAAGGTAAGAGTCAATTGATTATGCAAAGTTGTAAAATGAGGAAATAAGCTTTCCAGTGTTAGATGGTAAACAGTTACCCTTCAGGTGATCGAATTCATATCATCACAGAAGCTATCTTGACAACAAGGCAAGGTAGAGAGGAGGCACAGTACGAAGTAGATACTACTCAGGAAATGGGTTTTACAGTATTCAGAGAGCTTGGGACATGAGGGGATTTTCTTACTGAACTAATAATGTTTATCCACACAGGACATGACTTAGAGAGCCATGGGGAATATGTTCTGTAGTTCAGCATTCAGCTACATAGGTGTCTCAAATTAAAACAACAGCTGGGGGTTAAATGTCTGTTTTACTCTAAAATTAATTGTAAATTTCAAGGAGACACAAAGAGGGAATTGTGCAGACTTAAAAAGCCACCTTGGCACTGTCTATGATGACAAAGATAATTTCCTCTTGTAAACAGTTTTTGTTTTGTTTTTTTTTTTAAACAGAAGCTGCTTGAAAAGCCTTTGATAGCTTAAAAAAGGCAGGTGGCAATCAATGCTTTTAGATGCAACAAGTTATAAGTGTTTGTTGAATAGTGTGTTTCAGCATGGCTTGCTGTCCTTGTATTTCTTCATCAGAAATTTTCTTTTCTATATAACTTGTGAAGCTTCTCGAGGAACAATGTCTGTCATTTCTTTGTCTTCAGAAAAAGAAAGGAAATTAAGAACTGGTCAACAAAAAAAGGTTAGCTGTAAAAGCAGTTAAATATTGGATAGTAGGGGGAGAGCTAACATGAGGATTGAACATGGTTAGGAGAGGCAACATATGAAGGACAGAGACATGTCCTTCCAGAGATACGAAGGATCAGAGACACTATGAACTGACTATGCAAAATAGTGAATAGTTTGGAAAAGCAATTCAAGACAACTTTTTTGCGTACTTTTTTCTATAAAGAAAGAGTGCATGCTGAAAAAAAAAAGTCTGTAAAGGTCTAAAGATGAAAAGAGTATACTATATCAGTTGTTTCTCACTTTAATAGCTTGGTAAAGATTTTCTCAAGGGGGTATACTCTTACATAAAATAATAATTTCTCTCTCTAGAGGTTCCCTATTGAGATACCCACAGGAATCAAAATTTTACAAAAATATCAGCTGAAGTTATAAGTACAGGTCAGTAGGATTCCATAAAATAAAGAAGTACGCTATTTCCAAGTTGTTTTGCAACACCTTTTGTCATCAAAGACTCAGACAGACTGGAACTCTTAGGATTTTTTCAAGTATTCTGATACAATCCTTTCCAGGGACTTAAGTCAAACACCAGAGTTTCACACAATTTCAAGGAAAAATTCTTTATAGTTTTCCTGCTTTACTGGGTAGGAAGAAAGCATAAAGAAGTGTCATTTGACTGCCTACTGCAATTTTAGCTTTTAGCTGCCTTGTGTCTTCCATATAGGGGCTGAGAGAAGAAATTGTTTAAACTGCAGAGTTCAGCATTCCTCATGTCTGACCAGTTCTAAACAGTGAAGATAGATGTTTTTTCCTAAGCTTATCAGATGGATTTCCTTCCATTAAATAGGAAGCAAGAGCAGTTAAAGATGTTTGGATATGGAACACTTAATTATGCAAAACAAATCAAAAAAATTGTTTAATGAAATTCCAGCCAGCAGCAGTTGGCTGGACCCAATTGGTGAGTTTTTTTGTGAAGGCTCATGTGTCTTTACTAGACCCTTAATTAACCATGTAATCCCATGCAGTAATTATATTTTGTGAGAGAAGCTAGTCAAATAAAGATGGTATTTATCAACTTGTAGTATATCTGCAGAGAATGATCATGGGTATTAATTTTTATTTTAAAATAAATGTTCTTCAGGGAAACTAATTCTGCAGTTGTTTTCATCAGCGCACAACTGAATGTGTAGGATTCTGTTGAATTACTGGTTTGCTATTACCTGTCTGGTGACTGGTTGTTTAATGGTGCAAAACTGATAAAGGATGCAGCTTACAGATGAAATTTTTAATTATTTTCACTTAAGGTCAGCACTTATAGCGTTATGAACTTCAGGCATAGATTCCGTTATCTCCCCAGTTTGTGTGGATGTGAATAAGAATTTCTTTGTCTTGAGACTGAGATAACATGCTGGAGAAGATGTAAAAACTTCTGAAGCAGCCTGGCCTTGGTGGCACAAAACTCAACATGGGTCTGTTTATCCACTTAACTCACCAGTGGTTATGCTGACAGGTCATCTGCGCCCTAACAGATGCAGCACCAGGCAGGAGAGGCTGCCACTCCTGAGATGCCTGATTCTTGAGGCAGTAATACCACAGTGGTTTAGTGTACAGCGGTTTCTGTACACTAAACACTACACTTTCTGGATTACAAAATCTACCTTTGTTGAAAATAAACTACATAAAACACAATTAAAGGAGTATAAACTTTGTATTTCACTTGGATTGGGTCTTAAAAATTCTAGAAACAGTGTTTTTCTACTGTGTTTCCATCAATATCCTGTGGCTCTTATCCATACTGAAAAGTCTTTAACTTTGCATTCCAAGTATACATCACAATTTGAGTATGAGTCAAGTAAAGCTTTGTTGAAAATCCAAATCGATATTAAGGAAGACAAACATTTCTCCATCAGTGTTGAATATAATGGTGATAAGGAAGACAGTACTGGTATTCACTTGATGTTTTATTTTGTGTTTTCTTTTAGATTGTTTGTTTTAATTAATTTTTTTTTTTTTTTTTTTTGCTCCATAATGAAATAACAAGATATGCTGGCATGTATTTTTTTAGTGATCTTGAATTTGCTTGTCATTTCAGAATACTTGACGGTGTTTTCCCAGATGATTGCATTCCATGATCCAGAGCTGAGTAACCATCTCAATGACATTGGTTTTATTCCAGATGTAAGTGGAATATTCTTAAAAATATTGTTCAAAGGAAGTAAAACATGGAAAATGAGGACAATTAGGCTGAGATGCCTTTCAAAATTTTTGATAGTAGTTTGTTAGGAGACGTGTATTAATGGACCTTGTTGGGTATGTGGATAAAATGATGAAGTTTTGATTATTGTTTTATATACCTCAGTCTTTCCCCTTGTGTTGGCATGATAAATACAATAAAATTACTACTAATCACTTGTTTTAATTTACCGATTAATCTTAAAATGAATATGTAATTTTATCTTTAAAATGTGGTTTAGCATGCAAAACAAACATGGCCATAAATGACTAATAGAAAACTTTCTACAAATTAATTAAATGCTTTTGATTAACACAGAAGACAAATCAGTGTGCAAGCAATAAAGAATATATATATATATATATATGTACAAGTGATGGTTAATTTGTAGATATGTGAGATCTTGGAAAATGCTTAGCAATCAAGAGCGTAACATGTATGTAAGGTGGGTCCTTTCACTGGAAAAAGCCTTTAAGACAGAGAGAAATGAAAAACAATTCTGTATTATGGGCAATATAACAGAAATTTTGTTAATTATAAATTAATCCTAAGACTAGACAATGGAAACAATTTTTGTTGTCAATATGAATTCCTCTCTAAGAGTAGAGAAGTGAAAATCGAAGAAGGAAACTGAAGTCAGAGGTTGACATAGAAATTATTTCATAAAAAGAAATATGTATGTGTTTTGTTTGTTTGTTTTCCTGTCAATCGTTCTTTTATCAGTAAAGCATTATGCTTAAGAAATGCTTTAACTTAAGGCAGAAAGGCCAAGGCTATCAAAATCATGTTATACACAATTCCTGGGTGAATTTGCTTGTCTTTGGGACTGGCGGATACTCATTAGCACTGTTTACAAAAATTGTAGTGAGGAAAAAAATGCTTTCACATATAAAGATATTATTAACCTAATAATGTTATTTATGATGCAAATTGAAAAGATAATGTGGCATTCAAATAAGCAAAAGATAAAGCTAGGCTACTGCACTATAAACAGATGCTCTAGAAGGCCACATGTACTGCTAATAAACCACATCTGAAGAAGGAAGGGATGAAGGTGAGGGAAAGTGGGAAGCAGGGAGGATATTCACCTGTAGAAAGGCTGTGTGCTTGGTGGGGGATAAAGGACATGGGTAACATCCACATTTAATTTCCTGTGGGAGAATCAAGTTAGCGGCATCACTGTGTAAATGCACCCAATATTTATTTGCTGTAGCCTGTGGGGACCAGAGCAATTTCTCTGTATTTCTTGTTGTCCAGGGCACTCATTTCCATTGAGGATGTGTAGTTGTAAATTCCCTGACCATCCTACAGGTCTCCGTTTCTGCTATTAACCAACCTGTTGTGGTTGTTTGCTGCTCTTTCAGCAGCTCCTGCTTTACGCAGTTACAGTTCTCCACACCAAAACCTTCCAAAAATGCAAGTCAAATGGAAGAGTTAAAAATCACCTATTTTTGTATATTTTAGATTTTGTGTTGTGCCAGTCATCAGACAGCACATAGTCAAATGTGAGCCAAGCGTTACGGTCTAGAACAGGAGATGAGTAGGTAGTGCAGCAAATAATTACAAAATTGGGGTATAATTAAAAAAAAATCCAATTCTAAAATTAACAGCGACCTCTGAAGAGAGGTTGTCTTTTCTAAATCATATCATTTGGAAAAAAAAAAAAGTTCTGCCTTCCAGATCAGTGAGAGAGGTGTTTTTTGTTTTTTGTTTTTTTACCTGTAACAAGACAGCCCAAGATCCATCAAGGTGAAGAATATGCACTTTAGTAATGAGATCTGAACCAGAGTTTCGTGCTTGAGTACTAATCCTATCAAAGTAAACCCTGATTAATCTTTCATCATTGAAACGCAGGCTCCCGCTGCAGGAAAGATTGCAGTTTCCTGGCACCTTTCCCATTTGCTTCAGGTTATGTAGCTCTCCGAATATTGAACACTGCTGAAGGTTCAATAGTTGTGAATATAGTTACCTGATGTGGTGCCTGGATTAAGTACATTGCTGTGGCTATGTGATTTACATGTAAATAGAGAGGTATGTACGGTGAATCTTCCAGTTCTTCTTCGCTTATTCTCCTGAAGTTTATAATCTCCGCCACTCTCTGTAATGTTTTATAGCATCTGTTCTCTGTTTTACTGAATAATTCTGACATCAACAACAGACCATTTTGAGCTGAAGAAAAACAAGGAGGTGTGCTATGTTACTAACGGGGCATAAATTATTCTAAATAGCTTTCAGCTGCAAATTAGATGCAGTTGTCAGCTGGCCACTAAAAGAGATGACAAAGTCTAGCTGCAGTTAGTTAATATCATCTTGCTGGAGCTGCTGTCACAGGTAGATAGATACCTTATCTTGGTTTTGGTGATAATTCGGGAGGTGTTTGTAACAGGGCTTCATCTAACCAAGAATTAAAAATCCTGTGATTGAAGTACTTTATCTCAGCTTGCCTCTTCTGTTGCATGATTACCTAGTGGTGAATCTGGGGGAGAGGCTTCTTGCTGATATTTTTATCTTGTGAGGAATGTGATCATTCTTCATGTTTTGTGTAGGTGGGTAGAATCTGAAGTTCAAAATTGGTCTCAGTTTCCCTTCTTTTTGCATCCCTAGTCCTTTTTTGCATTTTTATGTAGCAGTTACGCATGGAATTGTCTAGGCCCCATGTAGGCCTGAGGTATGTGTGAATGCATTTTGAAGACAAAGCAGCGAGATATGAAGGTGCAAGATCAGGGGTTTATTCCTTTTAGCTGGGGATCATTGTCTTTACCACCTTTCTGTATTGCTATGTCAAATGGTCTTTTAGTTTGGGAAGCATGGAAAAAAAAGATTGGTTTACTTAACAGATCTTCACTATCTGGGATTGCTACTGGGCAATTCAATAAATAAATAAATAGAAGTAGGAATACATTTTGTGAGTGCTTCCTGTTGGCATTTAAGGCAGTGCCTTGCATAAAATACTGTAGAAAGCAGCTGAGAATGGCAGACAAACTGATTTTGTAACTGTCCCTTGCAGCATTTTTAGTATGTTCTCCTGAAGCAAACAAGCAACCTAACTGTTGGAGGTAGAGTACTTGCCCCATGTTGCCTTTAATTGTGGTAGTTCCTCTCTAAGTGATGAGCCTGGAGGAGGCAATGTACAAACAATCAAAGTCTGAGCACTGAAAATAGCATGAAATACATACCATAAAATAGTTCTTTATCCATCTACAAATTTTTCTTATTATGTGTGGAGATACGACAGGAGATATGATCAGTTTAAAATAACATACTGTATTAAATGACAGATGGTCAGATGAGAATTCTTCTATAAAAGATTACGAGGATGATGATTATCTCTATTGTGTGTGTGTGTGATCTTTAAAATGATAGGTATTTAACCTTGATCTCAGCTCTGTAGTTCTGAGGTGTAGAGACTGAACTTTCTTCGAGGTTTACGGTAAACTTGTTTGTTATGCATATACATATCATTCAAGAACTTGTGGAGAGTGTTGGCATTTTTGATGCTTTGAAACTTAAGACCTTCAGTAATAAATAATTCATTTTCATTATCTTGTAGCCAGGTGCATAGCTTCACTTTAGTTGCCTTGTGATGTTCATGAGGTGCACCTGGTTCATACAGGTCAACCACTTTATTGCTGCAGACTTTCAACAGAGCCAGATGCTTGCGTATGCTTCTTAGTGCTCTGTACCATCCCCACCAACAAAAATTAACGCTCATGTTCAGCTTGCTATCCCTTCTAAAAGACATTTTGAATCAAAAGCCTCTGAACATAAGTATTTTTAAAACTGTTGTCTACAACAGAAATCTCAAACTTCCATGCAAGTCTTCTGTATCTCAATCTCAGCTTCTAGTGAAGCCAAATAACAAAATAATGCAGGCAGTAAGAACAGGCAACAATAAATTTCTCATGGAAGAGGTTCTCGTCAAGATTTCAGTCGGTGTCTCTGAGCAGGTTGAATTTCTAATGGGAAAAAGACTGTTCTCAAATACTTCTTACCTAATTAGGGGCAAATGAAGGCCTTCACCCTGTTGAAAAACACTGAACTGGGTCTTCAGTCTCAGGTCTTGAGCAGAATTTGTCATATTTGAATTTGTCAGCACTGTTGGAGACTTTCAGCTAGGAAATAGAATATAGAATAGTGGAAGGACTGACAGTGAAACAAAGTGGAAGGACAGGAGATTTCGATTTTAACTAAAAAAAATATGGTGTTTTTTTTCAGCTTGTTGCTAGTGACGTTAGGGCACTGCTGTGTTCTTTATAGCTAAGAGATGTCCAGCTGGTTACTTAAAAGCACAGAATTGCTCCTACATTACTGGCAAAGCAAAATGATAATTCTGGCATTGCTGATCTCAAGCTCAGTCTAAAATTGAAGTATTGGTTTTAAAGGCTTTTATTTTAATGTGACTTATCCCCAAGCTCTTCCAGCAGTTCAAACGCTACTTTGGATAAAATCAACATCGTTCTGAAGCATACCTAATGTTAAGTGTGAATAAAAGACATAACCCCATCACATTCCTTGGTTGAGTAGTAAAGGGTTGAAAACCTAAACAGCAAGCAAGCAGCTTGTTAGTACAGAATGGCAAAATGCTGTTCTGGCCTGTGATTGCTAGAGGGCAGTATTTACTAATAATATATTAAAAGTGAAGCCATTTAACTAAAAAGATTTGGTAGCCTGTTTATTTGAGGACTTCAGGTTTGTGCAGTTCTTTTTCTCATCTTTGTTTTTCAGTTTCACTTGTATGGTAGAATAATAATACCAGTGATGTCCTCTTTGCTTCCTTATTAATGGTAATCATAACCACTTCAGGTTTACCTCGACCTCCTTGTCTTAGAACAGTCACATTATGAAAATTTGAGAGCAAAATCTCTTCAATAAAAATTTGACTGATACTGTCTACTTAAATAGTTTGACTTACATTTCATGTTGCTATTGATAGGCTTAATGAGGATCTGTTTAATATTTCAAATTTTGTCCTTCTTGTATGTTTTTATGTGTATGCATACATGATACAGGTGTCTGTGTATGAAGTTAGGAGTAAGTGGATATGCTCTGGTAAAACATTTTAATCAAATGTATGAGAAGAAGGAAGTAATTGCTTTTAAATACCGAGGAAGTAATGTAGTTCAAAAAAAATGATGTCTACGTAATGTGTACCTCAAAGCAAAGAGGAGCCTCAGGCTATTAGGAATGCTTATTTTCCTACTGCACAGAATATATCACATACAAGTAAGCAGGTAAACAGGTATTAGCTGATCACAATCACTGCAGGGGATATTTCAGGGAGCAGGGTGTTATTATTCAGTAGGGAGCCATCTACTGAAGGCACTGAAGAGAGATACTCGGGGAAACAGTATGAATGTACAATGAGGCTGAAATGGTGACAGGAGATGATTTGTTTTTGTTTTTGAACACTTAAAATCAATTGAAGGGTTAGAGGCCAAGCTTTATTTAAATTAAAAAAAAAAAAAAACAACTCAAAACACAACCTTGTAAATATTGAAAATGCTAAGCAGACATCAGCAAAACCTTTAGTTTTATGGACAGTGTACGGTTCAGATATGATTGAATACTCAGATGAAGGTGTGGGAATAAAATCTAGAGAGAGCCTTGATAGACATATTTGCCTTTCAGCAAATGTGCGCATGGTTTTGTCAGTGCCATAACCCTGTTTAAGAGTTTATGGAATAAGTAGTCATTTATTAACATAATATTGATTATGCTTTCTGCTTTTCATTTGCTTACTTCCAGGGAAGGCATAATAGGAGGATTAATTTGCACTTTTTATGAGCTAAAAAGTAATATATTAAGCTTTATGTCTAACTGTAAATCTTCAGAAATGGAAAACAGAGCACATGAGCTATGCAGCTGAGTAAATTTTAACAATGGTAGTCCTGCCTTTGCATTCCTAACTTGTAGGGACCTTCTGTAGAAATTGATGTTTCGTGAAAATAGATTCTGTTGCCTTCAACACACAAAGTACTTCAGTTAAAGATTAGGAATCTCTCAAGGTGTCATAAATGGGTAGCTATTCTAAATACATACTGAATCTTTTATATATATCTATATCTATCTATATATATATAATGTCATAAGTACTCTGACCGAAAAGGAGGTTTTCTGTAGCTGTTACAGTTCTTAGTCCCAGAGTAACAGAAGCACTGAATCAGCCTCAAATTCTTGTGATGACACCTGTCTTTACAGGTCACGTTAGAACAATGTAAATGCCCTAAGGTGTCTGTAACTGGCAGTATTTGCTTAAGTGACTTACAAGAGTGAAACTTCTTGCTGCCTTTCACTGAGAAGTATATGTTATAATAAATATCAACAAAGGCAAGAGATGTCGATACCATGAATCTATAAATTCTTCTGTTGAAAAGTTGTGATTTGTGCCTTTTAATTATTTATATAAATATTTTTTTCTATAGTCAAAAAGTTGTTTTATGCTTGCTTCAAGCACCCTTAGTCATGTTTCATGTAGCAGCATATGATGTAAGGGGAGAACTGGGACAGTTTGCTAGAGCAGGTTCTTGAGTGCTTTACGACTTCGGTGGTGGTTGGGTGGTTTTGCTCGTGATGCTGGTGCTCTTTCCAAACGTAACCCTGCTGAAAGTGATGGTTGTTGTTGTTTCCAGTACGACATCAGGAAATAATAATTTGGAAGAGATGAGAATGGGGGTTCTGGGCATGGGAACACCTTTTGGCAGCTGAAAGTTGTATCAGAGCAGTTTGGGCCCCGCAGTTATTTCCCATTTAAATGTGTTCCTGCCAAGCTGTGCAATTTTTAGTATAGTTTAAAATTGATCTAAACGAGGACTTGAGCTTTTAATAAAACATGTTTTTTGTTGTCTTTTCTCCTCCCCCCACCTTTTGCAGCTCTACGCAATTCCTTGGTTTCTTACAATGTTTACACGTGAGTATGGTTTCTTTTTTTTTTCTGATTAATTGTTCTTGTATTTCTTAAGGATAACTTTTCTCACTTTTTCAGATAGAGCTTTCCTAATTGATTGTGTGTGTATGTCATTTAGCAGGTCACTTGTAATTTGCAGTGATGTGTGTTGTGACTTGAGTCTCAACAGTGTCTGTCACATTATACTTTCTGCTCGTAGTTGACAGTAATTAGTGTTTTCTTATTTCTGAAAAAAAAAGAACTGTATTAAACTTGATCTGGATTATTCTGTGCATGTAGTACTGAAGGAATGTGAAAAGGAAGCTGTTATGCTGGAAAAAGTAATAGGAATAGTAACAATAACAATAATTAAAACACCTTTCCCCCCACCCAGTTAAGGTAACAAAGAGTAACTTCATTTTTGAAGGCCAACAAAACAAGCTTTATCTTCTTGTGCTTTCACATATTATTCTGCTTTACTGCAATATTTGTGGATGTATACTTGGAACAAAAAGAGCTTTCTGATTTGGTGGGCTTTTAATGAAAGACAGGAAAGTTAGTAAAGCAAGACTAGAAAGCAATTTGTCATTTTCTTTCCTCGAAGATCTTTGATTTTTTTTTTTTTTCATTTCATGTCATCATTGGCACACTTTGAATCAAAAAAAAATGGTGAGATGAAAAGAACTGATGGATTATTTCTCTAAAATGACAAAGAATTTCACATGAGATTCTTGATTGTAGTTCCTAAAGATCTTGATTGTAAGGCATTGGCTGTTGCAGTTGTCCAATCTTCTAAACCTTTTTTGAGAATTTGGAATATTCAACTTTGGAAAACTGAGAAAATGGTTTTCTTGGTAATTAATTTAGTAATTTTCTTGGTAATTAATTTACTAACTTTAATTTAGTAATTAATTTAAAGAGTGTTAGAACTATTTAGTTGAAGTATAATGTATTTTAGGAGATCCACCTTCAGCTTTATATGCAAAATGGTGCTATTTTTAATAGGTCTTTATTCCTCTCTGCCAATTTTTGCTCTATTCTGCTCATTTCCTTGTCTGGTTTAAAGTAGTTGAGCTTATTGATTCACTCATTAATGTCTTCATGCTATTGGAAATTACTGATTATGCATTTCCTCATGCATAATTATTTTGTACGAAAAAAAGAATAAATTGCCTAATTTTGTTTGTGTTTGAAATCTGAAAACCTTCATATTTCAAAGTATTTAATAAGGAAAGAAGGTACTGATTACTTCTAGAATAGTCTGTATACATACGAAAAGAAACGTGTTTAAACAGGTTGAATCCTGCTTGCTCCCAGATTAAAAAAAAGAAATAACCCTAAGACAGGAGATAAGAAAGTGTCTCAAGTGTGTGTATGTGCATTTATATTAATTCACAACTTTATTTATTTATCTATTTATTGTGGTGCCTGTTTGTCATGCAGATGTCTTCCCTTTGCATAAAATTTTTCACTTGTGGGATACGCTACTGCTTGGAAATTCCTCCTTCCCATTCTGTATAGGAGTGGCTATACTTCAACAACTGAGGGATCGTCTTCTGGCTAATGGATTCAACGAATGCATTCTCCTTTTTTCAGACTTACCAGGTATAGAAAAAACTTTCTTCCTTTTTTCTGTTTTCCCAAGTGTGTTGCTGAAGAAACCATGTGCTTTCATGTGAATATGTGAATATGTACTATAAATCTTACGAGTGTTTCAAAATAATGTTAAATTAAGGCCATGCACAAACTGGCAAGGAGTTTATGTAACTATAGCTCGATGAAGTTAGTGGAAGTCCTTTTGTTGTCTTAGCAAGAACTGGGTGAGTTCACTTTTATTTCCGTGTGAAAGTTAGAGTACTTCCTTGTGAAATTTAGAATAATCTTAAATAATTCATGAGTGACCGTTCACAGACGTGCCACTTCTAGAAACAAGGCAGTTGGTAGGGGCTTTTTAGTAGGAAATAAGTGTTGTTCTATACAGTGCTGTCACACTTAGCTGCTAGTGCTAGTCTGTTTTCCTTCCATAAAATTAAACTGTTGATATGAAAACAACTAAGGTAAAGTTAATATACTACGAAAAGCTGATACAGATACCATTAGAATTGCTTGGCGTTAAATCAGTTCGTTTGAAACTTACAGCTTTCAAAAGAACCCCCAAAATCAGATAAGAGGCTACATAATCATTCAGAAGTTCTGCCCTCCTGTTCAGTGGGAAGTTGTTGACCTATCCATATAAATAAGTCTTACATCTTTTTGGGGAAAAAAAAAAAAAAAAAAAAAGAGGTAGTTAGCAATGAAGCTTGGCTTTTATTTCTGAGTGAGTTTCTAGGGAAGCAGTAGCATGCGTTTGAATTGAGTAAACAGTGTACACTGGAAGATGTTTCCACTTGTGACAGACTAATATTTACATAATACATGAATTGGAAGTCTACTGCACACAGCACGTGCTCATGATCTTGTACTTCTTCACCTCTCCTCAACCCAGGATCTCACTAACATGGTATAGGTTTTGGTGAAGAGGTGATACAATTTTAATCAGTGTGGCCTTTTCTTAAGAGAATTTTAACATTTGCTTATTTCCTGGGCCAATTATAAATTTAGTGGGATGTATTCTAACACCATGTGTGTAATTCAAATATTAATTCCCTGAAACAGAAGTCATTCTTTTCCTGAAGAATTGAATGAGAGAATCAAGTTTGGAAGAGCATTGAATCTTAAAAATCTCTTATTAAGTGTGGCAGTCTCCACAACTGCAGAGTTCGGGGGCTAGCAGTAGCCCACAGTGTGGTAGCAAACCAGCTGCACCTAAGTTCATAGCTGTGTAAGTCAGTCTCTCAGAAGTTCAGCAAGGTCTCACTGGTGAAGCTCTGTGGCTTCTCTATTGTCACAAATTCTGTCTCTCACTGTATGCCATTAAACAAACGTCCAGATTTCAAGATTTTGCTTTTCTGCTACCTTTCAGCTCAGTTTCTACTACACAATTGCTATTTTATTTTTCCAATTTATAAGAAAATTAAATAGGCCATTCCATATAGTGTTGGTTCTTTCTGGTTCTGGTCTACATGCTCAGTCATTTCAAATTCTCTCATTAAATTTAACTTGGTATCTTCAGGTGGTTTGAAAGGTGAGTGCTAAACTAAAAGATTGTCTCTGTCCTCCCCTATGCATTATCTTTATCTTAGTTAAATATAGGTTCATTAATATTTTACCTATTTTCTTGCCTAAGGTCATACCTTCCTATTTTTTTCCGTAAGTGGTTCTAAATTATATATTCCAATTTATCTTGAACCGGCTGATTTTCTGACAGTTGATGTACTTTATGCTGAGGTCAAGTGTAAGAACACATTAGTGCTCATAATACATATCTATTTGTATAGTAAAATTAAATAACTAAAGCCTGCAATATTACAATGTGTATGCTTTCTGCTGATTATTGGTTGTCAACTTCGATGTTCCAGTAGGAAACGTTTCGGTTAATTTCTGAAAACAAATATTTAAAGCATTTGTGATGTCTGCAATGCTTTGGATGTCAATAGTGACACAGTTGAATGTTGGGAGATTAATCCAAAGCACATCATAAATTGACTGCTAAGGGACTTAAAAATGAAATGTTATATTGGTCTAGTTGAGACTTCTGGAATCAGTAACCACTCTGAACATAAAATTACCAGTGGCCTTGTGCTTCTCTTTCTAACTCAAGTCTTACTTCCTATTAAGTCGTGACTAGCTTTTGCATTTTGTCACCTGTATATTCCAAACAGGGGTTTGGCTAAAATAAATTCTGCACCATGCGTGTGAATTTTCTGGAAGTAATTTACAAACAACCTTTACGTGGAATTGGGTCACCCCAAGGAAGAGATTATGTTGTTCTAAACATCTGCAATAATTTAAATCTAAAATCAATTGTTGCTCAACAGCCTGAAACTCCTGTGGTTTTTAAGCTTTCCATGCACCAGAATGGCTTATCTCAGGCTGCCAGTGAAAGTGACTTGCTTTCCAGACTGATAACGCTACTATACCTCTATCTTGCAAATTTGTGAAATGCTTTTTTTAAACATTTCTTGTTTTTACAGTACCTGTCACTAAAAAGATACATTTTAATTTAAAAAAATAACCCACAAATTTATTTTCAGGTCACTTGGTTGCAGTTCACAGTTGAGTTCAGTGCACATAACACAGTTCTGATTATTGCTTAGAGAAGTTAATGATGTGGGGAAAAAGAAGGGGCACGGTGCTGGTATTGATTACTTGATTCTGAAAGCCCTTAGCAATGCTTATCTCAAAGCTTTGACTATATTTTATCTGTATAAATGGATATCACTTGCTATTTTTGGAATCTCTAGTGGAAATCTCAATTTGTTAATATTGAAAACAGATATTCCTTCGTGAGTGCCATACTTTGCTTGTGGCTTCATGTAAAAATTGAACTCTGGCCAGGAAGGGAAAATTAAAAGTTAATTAAAACATTACACTTTAAAACTCCATGTATCTGGATGTCTCTGAATAGAGACGGTGATGCAGGGAACCTTACAGGTTTATTTACTTGTTGGAGGGACAGTTGCACTGTATTTGAAACTGGATCAGGATTTTAACTCTTGACTAAGTTTAGGTACAAAACTTGGGAATTTCCTTAAAAATCTTCAAAAACAGTTCTAAAGTGGTTTTGAAGTGGCTAGGGGTATGATTCAATTTTATGAATAAAATTGGACTTTGTTTCCAGAATTGATCATTGCTGCTGCTCTCCATAATCTTGTAGTTGCTGGAGCTGACAGTTGTTCCTAGCTCTGCGTATAAGGAATTCAGTCAGAAAAATAACTGTACCGTAGCACTGAGGGTGTTTCTGTCGTGAAAAGCCATGTTAATAATTAGGTTCAACAGCGCTGTCTTCTGCTAGTGGAGCCTATAACATTGCAGTTTTTACATTAAGGAAAACACCGCAAACTGTTCCCCAAAATGCTCGTTCTTACTCTCTATACAGACTGAAATAAGAAATGGTCCCGATTCTGCTTTCTTGTTTATTTCTTTTCCATCAGTAGTACTCTCTCAATCAAGTGTTTCCATTGGACTCTGTTCTTTTCAGAATTTCTTGACTTACAGCTTCTGAATGGCAAAGCCTTCAGTGTTCATGTCTGCCACTTTCCTCAGGCTTGTAAGTTGCTTGGTATAGTCATACCTCAGCGTATTTCAGGCATACGTTTCCATGTTTGAGAACCATAGTTTTAACCAAGTTCTCCTGTAAACTGTTGCTTGTACTTCTACTTGTAAGGGGAACAGAAATGATACATGTCACTGTGCAAAGGAGATTTACTTTTCATCATTCATCTTGTGGTTAACATTATTATTCCAAATTGCCATTTGCCATTCAGAATTCTCATGTGCTTTATTAGTATTTAGGTCTAACAATATTCTCGTGTACTAGGAAACCTACTTGAAGGGTTTGACAAAATAATTGGTCAACTGAAACACTGCAAAAGCCCTTTGCTGTAATACCAAATGTCCTAGCCCCTGGTGGGGCTGCACGAAGAGGACATTTCAGCAACTGCTAAAACTTGCTTAAATAAGATGGTTTAGGAAATTATTGCCCAAAGGCATGTGCTTTGTTTGTTTGTTTTGTTCTGTATTCTTCTTTCTCCTTCTGTTTGAGGAGCTACTTTGAATATAAACTCTATTCAAACAATGTGATTAGCAGGGAAGATTTAGAGGTACTATTTGACACAAACAAATAAAACCAATTCCAGAGTCATTGCTAATTCTTTGTGTAGTTCTGAGAATTTCTAAATCTTATGCCATTTAGGTGATATAGAGAGAGCAAACACATTTTGCATTACCTTTGTTTTTCTTTTATCTAAGCCTGACATATAACAGGAGGATGTGGCAGGGGAAATGAGAATGGTAAGGGTGGCACTACTGATGTGGTACCAACAGAAGCAGGACTTTGCTTTCAGACCAGTGCTGGCCTACACTAAACCTGTTTGGTTGTGTCTGCATCTTTCCTATCAAGAAATATATGACCCAGATGGCCATGCCATGCATCAAGGGCTGACTGTATTAGTAACTTTACCTTAAAACGTGTGGTTTTTCTTATAGTGTAGTTGTTAACATCTTGACTTTAGTCTGTGTGATAGGTTTTGAGTTGCATAATCTACATGGTGATTGCTGTAGCTTAAACTGATTTCTAAATTCATTACCCACTGTACAAGTAGTGCAAAGTCACTGGCACCTGTTGTTAGGAAGCCAGACTCAGGAATGAAGCACCAGATACAGACAATTCTTTGCAAGCAGTTGAAGACCTATTCAATTCTACCTTGAATCAGTGTAGTGTAGGGCCTGACAAGCAGATACTCTTGCACAGATCCACGCTGATATCATCACTGAAGTACAGCTATTCATTTCGGTCTTGAGAAGAGATACACCAGCTTACAAGGTGGGGAGCAGATGCTGTTAGAGGATAAGGAAACACCAAGACTAGATATGGGATAAAACATGTTCTTATACATATAAGCATTATAGGTTAGTTTCTGCAGTAACCTCATCTTCTGAAACTTTAGGTGGTGAGGAGCATTTTAGGTGTTATTTCTGTGCAGCTTAGGAAGGCGGCTTTCTGC